CCCCAAAACCCCAAAACCCCAAAACCCCTTTAATAGAACACAATATTGAAAATCCTCATATCCTTAAGTTAATTCATCTATTCCTTATCTTGAAGACTAGCCATAGGTCTTAACCTTTGCTGGTCAGCAGAATAATCATTAACTTGTCCAAGCTCTCCCCCTTTTTGTTGGCCTATACATGCTATTAACACTACTCTAATAAGCTACTAAACCCATTAAGATATTTCTCAAGAATAATTCTACCGGAGAACCTACCTTTCAGTGTGGGATTGCTAAGCGTATTCTCAAAGTTCTGGTTCTTCATCATCATTAAGAACTTTTTATCTACAAATAATCCTGGAGGGCTTACTCATTCTGTGCTTCTTAGGCACCTTAATGACATGGTCCTGGTCATAATCCCTAGAATAAGCCATTGACTTATTCTGTCTCCTTTTTGAAAGATATTTGTTAAGCTTGACCATCTTTTGAGAGCTCTGGTTCCTTCTTTCTAAGGAATGTCCCAATGGAGCCTTGAGAGTTCTAGGGATAACCTGGCATTCGATATCTCCTAAAGCTTCGTTGACAAGGTCTTGATAGTTGTTTAGGTTAGCAGGGAGTTTGAGATCAGTTGTGTTAATATTTTCAGGATCGAATCTGAAGGATCAATAATTTACTTACCCGTTAATCCATTTTGAAATTGATAGTAATTGGTTCAGAATCTCAAAAGTGTTGTTTTTAGAGATATTTTCACTATCTTTAGGCTTAAGCATTTTTAAACTATCTTTTCTTAAGATTTCCACTAAGATGACAGAGAGATGCTTTATTTGCTTATGCAGTATATCAATAGCTTTCATGCTTGTGTCGGTGTCAATCTTGTTTGACTTGAAATCAAGCAAAGAAATAAGCTCACTCCTCTCAACCTTTCCTGAAATGATATCATCGACATCTTTAAATGTCACTAGAATATAAATCATCACTCTTAAAAGGAAGGTTTACCTGTGTTTTCCTTGGAGTTGTTCATTTTCATTTCATTTCTAACTTCTTTGATGCCTTTCTTGACTGCAGAGAATATCTCGATTCCAACTACTTTATTAAGTGCTTCAAATTGTTGCTTAAGGTCATCTACCACTGCATGATGGGCTTGGAATCTATCTTCAAATTGTTTCAAATTCTCATTAAACATAGAAGCCTATTGAAGATCATCAATGGTATTACCTTAAGACATTGGTCAACCTGGTGTTTGATTGGATCAAGGCTGACTTTATTCGCCTTCGTGCCTAAATGCTTTACAATAATTTCTACTCATTATTTCGTCAAATCTATAGCAAGGGTTAAATGGACTGATCGTTTATATGCTTTATAGAACAGCTTGATGAATATATTTTCTTTTGCTTAACCGTTAAAATCAGTAACAGTGATTTTAATTGTTCATTTAAAATTTCTTGAACTTTGATTTTAAATGCAATTTTAAAGGGATGCATAGCAATGGATCAGATCCATTTCTAATGAAAAGTAATGGAAATGTATAATATTAGCTATATCTTGCTGTACATATATTCAAATCATGCTAAGTTGACATGAAATTCCTCAATTCTTCTAATAGTGTCTGGGACTTACCTTCGAATAATCTCTTTGTTCTGTTCAAGTTGAGTCAGGAATTTAAGAAGATCATCTTCTCAAGACCGGATGCGGGGAACTATTCTATAACAAAGATTAAATTTAGCTAATATTTCTTCTTTAAATTTTAGGAATTTAGTAATGAGGTAAAAAGATAGGATCCAATAGCCTCCTTGCTAGTAATATTCGTCTTTGGAAACTATCTGATCCCTTAATACTTCTAAACTGTCTGAATAGACTTGAAGACTACCAAGAGTTCAAGTTTAAGCTTATGTAACTCTACTTTACTCAGTTCTAATCTTTTTCTGGAATATTTCAAAGTCTTTCTTAGAAGACAATGTTTCAATGGTTTTATTTGTTTGATCCAGTTGATCGATTGTAGCCCTTTTCTTAATGCTGTCTATATTTATGGTTGCATTTAGTGACTATTTCTAAAAGATTCTTACCTTGACTGTTAGTGATCTTGAGATTTAATTCCTTGATCTTCTTTTCAGCAAACTCTCTGCATTCCTTTACTTCCTCTGACGCTTTTTGGAGATCGTCAGTGAAGTCTTTCTTCAAGACAAAATTTTTGGTATTTTGCTCATGAATTTTATTAATAATTTCCTCAATTTCTTCCCTAGAGGGATAGTTCTCCTTCACAGAATCTGCGAAGATCTGGAGTTCATCTGATTTCTGTTTAATTGTCATATCAAGCTGCTCTACAATCTCTTTTTCAGTAAGAGTGTTCATCTATGGGTAAAAATGAAAGATACTCTTTGAAGAAGGTTCTGCTCACTTTCCCTTCCTTTTTGGTCCTGATCTTCTAGATCTCTTTGGAAGGAGTTTAGTATGTTTTTGATGTTTTGGATGTCTACTCTGGTAGTGTCCATATCACTCTGGACTGCTTTTGTTGACTCAAATTGGTCTAAAAATGATTTGAAATAAGTACCTATTCTATCAGTCATTTTAACAATATAGTTCTTATGAATTTCGTTTGAAAGGTACCCCAATATATCAGTTTCGCCTTTACTCTTGATCTGGTCAAGAGCTGCTTGAATAGGATAAAGCTCATCCATACGTTCCATGACATCTTGTACTCTTTTATTCATATTCTCTGTTTCCTGCTTTGACTGGTATACCTTCGTAATCAAGGATTTTTCAAGTTCTTTCTGTGATTTCACGATATCCTCAAGGGTAATCTCTTCTTTAGCCTGAGGCTATAAATAGCTGTTATAAGTAACTGTCATAAATACCCTTTGAAATCCCAAGTTTATGTCTTAAGATACTTACCTCGTTGGTATCCTCTTCAGGGTTAGGTTCTGACTTCATAAATTTTATTTTAATTTATAAAAATAGGGGTTTTGGGGTTTTGGGGTTTTGGGGTTTTGGGG